CGTTGGTTCTTACTGGAGTGGCACTGAGTGCTTCCCTGCGTGGTTCACTGCATTGGTCGTGCTACACCTGAGGCGACCTGACCTTGAATCTGCAGGCAGCTTTTCCTTTCGGAAGAGAAGCAGTGGAAGAACAGGCAGAAAGAAGGGAATTGGTCCCAGGAGGCTCGGGGGATGGCGCCAGGGCCCGTCCTGAAAGGCTTTGCCCCGATCTGTCTGCCCACAGAGCCCGCGGCAACCCAGATCCACGCGGGCCACCCCTCCTCCTCCGCCTGACTCCACCTGTCCTTTGCTTGGCTGCCTTGGGCTCCTCTCACTTACCGTGAGATTTGGTCATGTTTTCTCTCTGTTGTTTCATTCACTATACTTTAGAAGTGCTCAGAAAGAGCAAGGAATGTAATGGGCACTCACATATCTGCCACAAAAGTTCTCCTGAAGTATGAAAAAAGACAAGAAAGAGCACCTCCACATTTCAAAATAGACATGAACAACTTTTTAATTAAAAATATATTAATTAGTTTGTGTTTGCAGTACACAGTGATTGCATTCATTGCTACACTTACATAGCGCAATTTTCAGTACTTCAATGGAATTCAGTGTGAGGTTTTTTTTTCTTTTTATGTATTTTATTACAGAGTCTACAGGGTCTCATTACACAGATTGGATTCGTAGTGATTCTCCCGTTTTCAGCCTCCCAGGCACTGGGATTACAGGGGTGCGCCACCACGCCCAGTCTCAGTGGCTGTCTCGGCGCACCCCAGGGGTGGGGTGGCACAGCATGGCAGGCTGGGGATCGAGCCCCTGGCCTGTGCGTCTGCCTAAGCAGCTGCTTTAGTCTGCTGAGCTGCCTGGCCGGCTCCCGTTTCGGGATTTCTTAGGAAGTAGGTCTTCCCTGGCTTAGGCAGAGGTGCGCTGCCTGCGTCTTGCTCATTTAGGGCTTGCTCGGGGCTGATGTGTTTTTCACAGAAACTAAGTTTACTCTAGAAAGTTATGTGATTTTGTTTACTCAAGGTTGAAGAATAAAAAAGCCTGGTGAGCATATGAATTAATTTACATTTCATTAACACTTATAGTTTACATATATAACTTAACATTTATGTTTTACTAGTGTATCTTGAATTACAGGCAGCAAATTCCAGTCTGCTGACTAGTGTTTGTCTTATAGTAAAATTTAAACGGAAAAAATAATAAAAAATTAGCCTATTCATATCCTTTAAACTGACCAGGTCATTCCTAGAAATGCATTCTATGTTTACTTAGTAAGACAGTTAGCTACAAAGATACTCATCAGAACATCCTTCATACTTAAGGAAAAGGGCAGTGAAGCCTGGTCTCTCTACTAAGACTTCAGATGTCTATGCGATGCAGTCTTGTGAAGGCATGCTGTAGAAATTCATTTATTGATATGAGAAGATAGCCGTGAAATAGTAAATCAAAATGGGTTTTAAAACACCTTGTTATATAAACCAGTGTCTTCAAGCATGCGCAACTCGAGACTAATACTGCCCGTGGTTATCTCATCATAGACGTTGCCTTCTCTTTTTAGTTTTTCCTTTTCAACACTTCATGTATTTCTACAACTAGAAATTAGAATGCATAAAACACATAGTAGCGTTTATTGCAGGATAAATTAGAGTTTGTACATTTTACGTTTGTAGTTTTGGGATATCTTGCCTTTTCTATTAGAACAAGAACCTTGACGTCTTTGAAAAACTGTGGTGTTCTTGCTTAGTAGCTGAGTGTGTTTGGGAGAAGTGAAGCCAGCAGGTGTGTGAGCACGCAGCCCCGGTGTGGCCACTAGTAACACGCACGCAACGCAGGGCAGGTGTGTGCAGTTGGTAATGTGCGGCACACGGTGCCGTCAGTGTGTAGATGTGATCTGTACCTGTTCTTTATCCTTCTTTCCTCATAATAGTGGAAAATAAGTTATATCGTTGCTTGCTATTAGTACATTGTTGCTTTTTAATTTTAGGAAGGGGAAGTTTTCCTGTTTATCTGGTGTGTCTGGTTTTCCCCAGTTCATTCAGCTAGTAAAGTCTAGATCCTGAACCTCGGTCCCCACGGTTGCCGAAACCCGGTGCTGCTGTTGTCGTTGTTGTCTTCCAGCACTGGGCTTGGGTCCCGGGCTTTGATCATGCTGGGAGGCTCCTTGCATCAGGTTGCGCCAGCCATGGCTTCTTTTTTTCTTTTTCTGCAGTTCTGGGGATTGAACTCAGGCCCTAGCGCTTGCCAGGCAAGAGCTTGTTCTGCTGGGCTCTCTCCCTGGTGCCCGGCTGCTGGGCATTGCCACTGCAAGCAAATGTAACCGGCATGCCCCAGAGAACAAGCGTATCCGTAGGCGTGGCCCTGCGCGACGTGGTGACACGAGGCGTGCTGCTGCACTTGGAATGTTTTCCCTGAGCAGCAGCAGTGACAGCAGCAAGTGACTGTAGCCAGCCCGACGCTGCCCTAATGCAGCGACCAGGGTCCCTTGTGTCCTTCTGGCAGCACACAGTGGCTTGGATGAGTGGACTGAGTCAGTGCTCGGTGTTCCAGCTGGACGTGCTTTTGTGAATGTAACACTGGAAAAGCTATCTGGGAACTCATCGCTCCTGGATCCACCTGGCGGTGGTTTAAACAATGGCTTCCCTTTCCCTTCGGACATTTGTTTAAGAAAAGCAATCCAAACTCTACCAAAATAAATGTATTTATAGAATCATGATGACTGTTAAAAATGATAACTGTACTTTCCTATTACTAATGCTGTGTGCAGTTGAGCTACTGTGTTTATTCAGCGAAGGACGCGTTTGACGATTTTGTCACCCCGCCTGGCTGCTCATGCTCTGTGTAAAACATAGCCCTTGCTCGGAGCCTCAGCTCCCCTCTAACTCTGCGTTCAGGTCCTGGTGACAGCGCCCTGCCACCTGCTTGGCCTGATGCCCTTGTCCTCCTGATGCACGGCCTCCCTTGCCCATTCCTAGTCCCTCAGCATATTGTGTGGATCTCACCTTCCGCAGATGGGTGTGAGCCAGTGTTCTGAAGCAGGTTGGAGCATGTGTCGCCTGATGGGTGGCAGGGCTCCTCCACACATGCTGCACCACCCCGGTCCATCTCACTGCAGAAGCAGCCAGGCAGGCCCTCAACCTGAGTTGGTTCCCGTCATCCCTCATATCACTAGAATCCAGATCCTTCGCCTCATGCCAGGTGGAGCAGTTGTCCCCAAGTCTAAGCAGTCTTAAGGACTGTGGCCTCCCATGACTGCACTGAGCCATCCCCAAAGCTCCTTTGCCCTCTTCTCCACTCCAGCCACACTGGCCTCTGTGCTTCCCAGCACCCAGCATGCTCGCACCTGGGCCTGCGCAGCTGCTCTGACCTCTAGCCAGGTGGCCCCTGGCCCCCCAGCCTCGTCTGCATGCCAGTGGCCAGGTACAGCCTTCTCCCTACCACAGCCGAACGTCCTGCCCCTCTGTCTTGCCTCATTTTTCTCTTTATATTTATTGTACAAGTAATTTGTTAGTCTTAGACCTGGTCTGCTCCAACCCCTCCTAGAGTACTTGTATGTGTCCCTAGAGATTCACTAGAGATTACATTCTTAGAGCAATGCTGGCACATGAATGGGCTCAACAGATACTTGCTGAAAAGTTATTTTTATTTTTATATTTTTAGTTGTAGCACTATTTATTGTATTATGCTTTTTAATGACAAAAAACTATTACAATAGATGCAACAGTACAACTGGACTAAGTCAAACAATATTTTAAAACATGTTTTGTTTTGTTTTTTTCAGTGCTGAGGATCAAACTTGGGACCCTGCACTTGCCAGGCAGGGACTTATGCCACTGAGCTCTCTCTCCGGCCCTATATCTCTGTCTTATACATCAAGAAACTGTGACAGTGAGGGGTTAAGTTACTTGCTCAAGGTCATACAGCTTTCTTTTTCACCTATCCTGGGTATTGAACCCAGGACCTTTGCACTGAGCTACACCCCCAGCTCTTTATTTTTTTTTCCATAATTTTATTGAGAAACAAATAGCAATGAGACAGTTTCAAACCAAATTGGTAGGACAGTTTCAATAATTAACACACTGCATACATTCTTCTTAGTGGTTAATTGCTGTACAAGATGCAGATATGATATCCTATTTACAAATACCATTAGAACAAATCCCTCTATTCATTAAGAGAATGTAACTATATATCTATCCTAACTACTTTGAATACACAAATACAAAATGAACATTCATCTGTATCCCCTTTTTTGTTAAGCTCCATTATTTCAATATTATAGGTGTGTAAACTCAGCAAAATATTCTAAAAGAGTTCAGAGGTCCATAATAGTATTGGGTCTTCCACTTGACTGGCAATGTCAGAAATTGTTGACCTGAGTCCCCCACAGCTCAACATAACAGCATGGCTTTACTTCTTTTATTTTGTTTTTATACTTTTCTGCTGGATGGTTAAAACCAAGGTAAAGCAGGACCTATGCAACAAGAGTTGTAGCTTTTGGGTCTGATAAGGTCAGTGAAATCCGCTCAGGATTTATCCTGAGATCCTGTACCTCAGATTGTAGAACCTTTGTCAGTGTCAGCCATGTGGATGAGAACATTTATTATTAATCCGGAAGTTGCTTCCTTTTTAGCAGCTAGGACCTTGCTCTGTTGTCCAGGCTGGTTTTGAACTGCTGTGCTTGGGTGATCTTTCTGCCTCAGCCTCCCAAGTAGCTGGGACTACAGGGGTGCTGTTGTGAAGAGGCTATTTCTTGACTGTGTCTAATGTCGGGTGTTCTGTTGGGCACTGGAGTACTACATCAATGTCAAATGTATTAAGGAGTTAAATGTGCCACTTTAATTCAGGGAGAAGGATGTGACATCATTTAGGCTTAATCACTGGCATTTCAGGTACTTAACAGTGATTGAAGCAGGCTTGCCAGAAGGTCCTGTTTCCGAGGTAAATGCCTTGTGTGTCTAATGATGACAGCTGAGCCAGCTACTCTTCATGTTTTCACTGTCTCTCCTGTTTTCCAGAAAAGAGGCCCAGTTAGATGAAGAAGGCCAGTTTCTGGTCAGGATAATATATGACGATTCCAAAACGTACGATTTGGTTGCTGCTGCAAGCAGGGTTCTCAGTAAGTGAGGCGCGGCCTTCTTTCTTTGTCTCAGTTCCCTGGGGAAGCCCAAAGGAGTGTCTGTGTCATGACTGCAGTATGTGATTGTACAGGTTGTGTACTGCACAACCCTGTGTGTGTGTGGGGGGGGGGCTGTTCACATAATGTTAGGCTCAGGCCTGACTAAGTCCTAGTCTTCCTTTCTCAAAGTATTTAGAGAATGGAAAGAGGGCAGGCATCTCTCCTCACAGAAGGCCACCTGCTGGGGAGGAAGATCATGACGCGGCTCAGTGTGATCCGTTCTAGTAGCAACAGGGTAGAAGTGACACAGGTGCAGGCGGAGAGTCCTGTCCCGACATCTCTCTCACGACTACAAGTTACGTTAAACTCCTGCGAGAGATGAAAGGAACGGAGACCTTCCACACACGAATCTCACTGGTAGAAAAGGTGTCGTGGAGAAAGGTGGTTCTCAGATATTAGCTGTTATTCCCAAGGAGTTTAATTTACATGGAAAGTGTAGTTGCGTGGGGCAGAAGGAAGCTTTTGGCTTTACTTGGCAGAGTGTAGCAATTAGGAAAAAAAGTGGTAAAACATGAAGTATAAGGCCTCATTAATCAAATGAAGCAAGTATCAAATACACTTTTAAAATACAAATTTCCAAAATATTTAAGGTGAAGTATCTAGCATAGTCACAAGTAGAGGGGACGTGGTATTTTTCAGTCTGATGAAGCAAGACGATGTCCTAAAAGAGAACAGTTTGGCAATATCAGAATCTTTTCAAAATGTATTCTAACTCTTATAGAATGTTTCCCAAAGAAACACTAGATGGCCTTTGCACTAGGATTTATGTAGAAGTGTTTTTGTGTTAGAGCCACCTATCAATAAATGTAAAAACCTGTGTTTTCAGCAAGCTGAGAGTCAATGAATTGCTACATCCACAATTGAAAAAGATAATAGAGCATGAAGAACAACAATATTGGAAAAATGAAATTGTAGGAAACATGAATTTGGTAGCGAAACAATAGGACAGTCAGTTCCAGACTTTGTACAGTTAGGTTCATAAATACACCTATATGCATGAAGGAAAGTATTTTGCATCAAAATAGTGTCATGTACATTCTTGTTGGGTTCAAAGAATCTCCCGTTTTTTAAATAAATACATTAAATGTGTGCTGTCAGTTGTCAAAATTAAGTAGTTCTTATACAAGTTGAAAATGTGGTTGCTTTGTTATAGTCAGTACAAATTTATGCTGTTAATTTGTTAGCTCGTTGTTCTCTCAGATCTCTTTGTAGTGTTGTGGCCAGAATTTTTTTGCTTTGATTTATGTTTCTTCCACACAAAGACTGGGCTATTTTCAATAGCTTTAGTATGCATTTATATTCCTTCTTCTCATTAACAACGTTCCACCTATAATATGTGGTTTTTATTTCTTCTCAAACCTGTAAAACAGACCTCAATGCTGGAGAAATCCTTCAAATGTTTGGGAAGATGTTTTTTGTGTTTTGTCAAGAATCTGGCTATGACACCATCTTACGTGTCCTGGGATCTAACGTCAGAGAATTTCTCCAGGTGAGTAGTTTGATGTCCTGGAATAATAAGTTTTGAGTGGCTCTTAAATATTGGTCCCGGATCCTTCTACCCATACTCTAGCTCAACGACAGACAGTGTTTCGTTGCTGGAGTACAGTCATAGTGACCCATTTCTGATTCACTTAGCATCATATTTGTGAGACGATCTTCAATACAATGTAGGACTTTCGCTTTGTATTTTTCTTTATTTCTAGTGGCTAACACGGAATATGCTAATGGTATATTAGTAGTTTCCTAGTGAGTTCACAAGATCTATTTTGATCTGCGACTTTTTAAGCATTTTGCATGCAATTGGTGGTTATTTTGGGTTTTAGTCATATGTTATGGTCTTGTTTTGTATTCTAAAGTATACTGAATGTGTAAAGTATATGTAAGCCCTATGTCAGTAGTTACAGATTTTGACCTGGAGTCTGTCAAGCAGGACAGAGGGCCAGGGTGCAGAGGCCTTCGTGACACACATGCGACACCTTGCACACCATTACTGGGGACCTGCATCTGGATGAGTGTGCTGTAGAAAGAAAAACAGGAGACCTTCCGAGGGCAGGTTCAGGAGCAACCTTCCGAGGGCAAGTTCAGATGAAAGAGACAACGTCCCGAAAGGCCTGTGCCTCATCCAGTCTGGTGAAAGTTGCCCGAACGGTTTTGCTCTCAGTTCCCCTTTAGCCAGGAGACCTCTGCTGGAAGGCGCGCCGTGTGGGAAGCCCAGGCGTTGGCGAGCCCCTCTTGCTGAAACACGCTCACTGTGAAACCCATGTGGCAGTTTGCAGAGAACATTTGCCCCTGTCTGCTGAGAGCAGCCAGACCTTACTGGAAAATGATGTCAGCGCAGGACCAGCTGGACGGGAGCCCGGGGCGGCGGAGGGAATGTAAACCACTTTCGGGCCAGCCGCATTATTGATTTAACAGCCAAAATACGAACTTTAGTGTTTAATCAAAACGTCTGTTGTTTACACAGGGACATTTTTCTTGTGAACTTAAGGCAGCACTAAATCAAGCCGGGACGCGGTGCTCAGTGCCCTGCCGAGCAGTTGTCAGGGAGCAGAGCTGCCGCTGCCAGGGAAGTAGCTGCCAGGAGAGCTCTAAATTACAGTGGAGCAGGTGGGCTGGAGTGGACTGTTGCACATGGGCCGAAGCTTGGTACTTAACACTACGTGGGCACTTTAGATTTTTTAATGCATATTTTACTTGTTAGTATCGTACTGAGCAGAGCCTCTTCACCGGTGACAAATTGGCTTCTTTTGCTGTCGCACCCACCCTCTCTCTCCACGGCTGCGGCTGCACAGCCGCGGGCTCGGACGCCTCACCGCTTCTCCTCCCCACCTCTGCCTGCCCGCCCTGCACGCCGCTTCTGCCTTCTAGTACAGCTTGCCTTGTGCAGCTGGTCGGCCTGGGAGATGAGATCAGCACAGAGCAGGGGATGGGGAGGCTTCCCAGGCAGGGCACAGAGGAGACAGGAGCTCGCAGACATGCAGATTTGGTTAAATGACATACAGTTGTGTGTGTCCCCATGCGTGTGTGTCCCCATGTGTGTCCCCATGAGGGTTGTACACCAAACTCATGCGTGTAGATGTGAACAATGAAGAAACTAGGTATTTAGAGTACTGTAACACGTTCGGTGTTACCCATGTTTGCTATGTCCCTTATTTTTTGTGAGTTTGAAATTATCTCTCTTAATGGTCAATTCAGTGTGATGAAATACTACTTTTCTTAAGAGCAGCTATTTTTGTCATGATTAGACCAGTTACCTAGCAATTAAGTGAACCTTTTGCTATGTAAAATTGACTATGAAATTAAACAGTTGATTTTCATAAATTGTTTTTGAGGCCCTAGGTCACACCGAAATTGACATTTATGTCATCTATACATTAAAAAGAACATTAATGGTGAACTTTAGTCTTCAATGAAGAACAGCAGGAGTTGGCCTCATTTTTAAAAAATGTAAAGGCTTGCGTTTCCTCCTCACTCCTATTCCAAGCAGTCACCAACTCTATAACGTTTCCTGGATGTTGACAACTCTTCCACTTTTTTCCGTCTCCTCAACAGTTGCTTATGTCAGTCCGCTGTCACCTGGAGACTGGACAGGTTTCCTGCCTCTCTTCCGACCTCTCCGGTCTCTTCTCCACTCAGTAACCTAGGTGATTTCCTAAAATGTAAAGAATTCTCATCACATCATTTTTGTGGGTAAACCTGTAGGTTACTGGCTTATTGGAAAATGTCAAATATTTTATGTATCCTTCTGGTTCCTATCCTGCAGAGTAGCCAAACTTAACCCTGGTAGAACTTTATTTACCTTGTTCTCTCTGTCCTCTGAGTTTTTGCACTGTTTTTCCCTCTTCCTGGAATATGGCTGTGACTCCTTTTCACTTATTAAATCTTGTGCATCTGCAGGATACACTGGCTCTTCCGGAGTGCCCAGCTCTGCGCTACTGGCCCAGCCTGCCTGAGTCAGGGTGCCTGGTCTATCTCCAGCCTTCATAGCCTCTTCTGTTTCCCCAGCCACACTGGTTCTTCCTAGTGCATTGTCATTTCCTGTCTGTGGGGTTGGAATATAACACTGAGGCCAGAGGCTGGTATACTGCTCATGTTGTATCTGCCCAGATCCCAGCATGGGGGGGAGGGTGTCACAGAATGAACCAGTATCTATAAAAATATCAACATTTGCACAAATAAAAGGGAAAAAAGCACTAAGATGCAAATTCATCAGTAGCTCAAGGTTAGTTATTTCATAGAAGCTCACCTATCTCAAAGGGGACTGTATTTATTTAGGGTTGGAGTATGGAGTAAAATAAAACCATGATACAGTACAGCAGTTTCCTTTCTAGAAGTGTCTGGTAAACTGTTGCACAATATTTAGTTTTCAAGCTATGTTGCTTGTATCTTTTGACATTTTTTCTTTTTTCTTGAGACAAGTTCTCAGTAGGTAGCTCAGCCTGACCACAAACTTATGGCGATCTTCTTGCCTCATCCTCCCAAGTGCTGGGATTACAGCTGTGCAGATACTTTTTCAATATTGATATTTTTCACTTGAGACTCTCAGAAAACACTAAAATAGCATCTGAAATCATGATACAGGAGGGACGATGGGGTATGGCCAAAAAATACATTGAATGTTTAAATTTTCAAAAGTAGTTATTATAGTAAAAGACAAATTGCCATTAATCTCTCCAGAATGCTCCAGGTCACTTCCAACATACTCATCTTGTTCTTCTTATCACTTTCAAAGCAATTCTGAAAGTCCGCATCTGCGAGTGTTGAGTGTTGCTTCTGTGGCTGCCTGAATGTCCCAAATGGATTCAGAACATTTCCCTTCCATGGTGCTTTTGTCTTTGGGGAAGGGCCTCAAGTCACCCTGGTACTAGGCCTGGCGAATAATGTGGACAAGGACGTGGTCTCATGTTTCCATGAGCCTTCCTTTCCACTGGACAACGCCAAACAGCAGCATTCACTGCATTGCTGACCCCTGTCTATAAGAAACGTTCGCCAAGGAGGACGTCCAGAATTGATTCAGGATGTTGCGGGAAGGCAGGTAAGTGTGTCCAGTGCCAGGGGGACATTGTGAGAGGTTTATGACCGTGGGGCTTTCAGTGCAATTTCTTTCTCTTTTCTTTTTCTTTCTTTCTTTTCTTTTTTTGTGATACTGGGGGTTGAACTCAGGACCTTGCACTTGCCTGGCAAGCACTTACTCTACTGAGCTATGTCCTTGGCCCAATTTCTTTAAACTTAAATGCTCAGAGTATATTTCAGTCATACTGTGTCTTTGTCTGTGTTTTAGCTGAGCAAATCTGATTCACAAAAATGTAAAGTAAAGTTCATGAAAACATGGTGCCACAGCCTCATTCACATTATTCACCAGGACTTGTTTAGGAGTTCTCTCTCAGTTGGCTATGTTATTAAGAATAATTCTCTAACATGCAAGTGTGTGTGTGTGTGTACATGGATGGATGGGTGGGTGGGGGATGGACAGATAGCCAGCCAGCTAGACAGCTAGATAGATGTGTGTGGACATACCTTTATCTTTATCTGTCTCTATCTTACTTTTCTTGAATTTTAAAGTTTTCTGAGTACCAGAGAACACCTGCAATAGGCAGTAATCTGTCTTTGAATAGTACAAGTGGCTCATTGTGAGGCATGGACAATTTTTTGGAAATGTGGGGATCCTTTATTGGGAAATATTTCTTTTTATATTAATCTTATTGAGAGAGAAATAGCAATGAGACTGATTCAAAATAGGTTAGTAGGACAGTTACAATAATTAATACATTGCATATTGGGAAATACTTCTTGTATTTTATAGAAATTTTGTACAGTATAAGTAATATCTGGAGTTCCAAAAACACCCTTTTTTCTTCACCTTGAGCTTATCATTTCCTTTATTGGTTGGTTTAAACAGTGGCACTGACAAATCTCCTTTGGAAAGTCTTTGTTCCCATATCAGATTCATGCACTTGCTTAATGATTCATGCTTCTAAATGAAGATTTTAAAATTTTACATTATGCTTATGTTAAGCCATTTTAAGATTCTAACAAAAGTAGCTAAAAGCCCTAAGTGGATACAGTAATGAAATGTATGAACTATTTTTAGAGGAAATCTTCTAGAAGCCTAATGTTCTCTGCTCATTACATGATTTGGAATTGATTTTCTTCAAATCATCTGTGAAATCATGAATTTTGTGGTCTATTGATAAAATAATAACTTTAGAATGATTTTTAAGGTTTTTATTTTTGGTGGAACTGGGCAAGCGCTTATTCAACTGAGCTATCTTCTTGGCCCCTTTAAGTTGTTTTAATGTTGAAAAATACTGATCAAGAAGTAAAATGAAACATTTTTGTTTTTATTTTTTTAACCTGGACATAGTACTTTAAAGGCATTACTATATTTCAGCAAAAACTTTTTGCCATGTTTTTACTTCATTTGTCTTCAGTTAGGCACTCAATGTGTGATCCCGTGCCTCTACTGTAGCGCACTTGTGCTGGACACTT